ATTATTATACATATCTGATCGACCGTTTATCAAATGTTTCAGCCAGCTCGACAACACCTGCATCTGGCCACAAGCGTGCACCGCGAATATAGCAGCCAAGCTACAGGTTGCAGTCGTTATGGTATGCATCAAAGCACCGGCGACTAATTGAATAGAAAATACAATCTCATTTATGAAACTGTAGCGAGTATCGATGATAAATCTCGAGAAGGGAAACACCAAGGGAATGAAGGTAATATTGTCATCCTCTGCAAGAATTTTTCCAATGCTAATTGGCACGGCAATATAGTAAAAGGCAAAACCACTGTACATGAAAAACGTGCAAATAACGACCAGTCTTCTTCCAAAATTTGCATTCGTTATCATGATTTCTCTGTCTTTGAAATATGTGATATTCTTCCAATCCCATTCAATACGTTTGACGCACTCGCGAATATTATCCTCGTGTAGGATTAACAAATGATATTTTAGAAACGCCATCACGCAAAAGCTCAATGGACCGAGTAGTTTTATTCTATTGTAGACATCTTTCACTTCGAGGATCACATACAAACTACATGGTATCGAGAGGAAACTTATTAAACTGTAGCAGATTACATTTATCAATCGATAAAAATATTTTCCTGTCGTTGAAATAGTGGAGGAATTTGGCCAAAGACCGATCGGTTTTAAAATCCAGCGACTCCATTGAATGCTGAGGTTTAAGTTTCTTTTATAGTCGTGATCTGTTTTGATGCACGATATGCTGTTGATTTTTGATTTTTCCATCGTTAGAGTTTGAACGTCTCTTTCAAACTAACCAGCTTTGATCTGAGATTCTGAGAAAAAGAATGCGGCGCTTGCGCCGATTTTTCGATTCCCTTCAATAAAGGGGAACAAAAGTTTGCTTTCCGATAGTTTCGATTGAAATTTTTCCCCGCTTGAACTTTTTCTCATTTATGTATTATGAATTCGAGACGTGGAGAATGACGGTGAAACCATCGATTGATTGACTTGTGAAATAATGTTACTGATAGTGATTCAAAAATTTATCATTATTTATATTTGCATAATATTTTATCATTTTTGTGAAATTTATACATTGTATTTCTTTCTTATTACTTAAAAAAAATAATATTATGAAAAAAAATTAGTAAGTACCGATATAAATTGCATTTTTTTTATTTATTTTTATAATATAATATAACAAAATTTATTTCCTAGATTTTAATATAACAAATAAGATATACTAAAGCTATAGTTTTTAATGAAAAAAATATTAATTTTTGGAATAGTAAATATAATAAAGTTTATAAATATAGTTTACATTATATTGCATTTCAAAAAATGCTTAAGTTAATGTTCGCAATACATTTAAGAAAGCAAACGATGTTTTAATTACCTATTATAAAATATTTTTGTCAATTATATGCAAATACACAGAGATTATAATAATTTAATACTTACATCAGAGAAAGTACTCATTGATAATTCGATTAAATTTCCAGCTGTTAATTTCATAGATGAATTGGACATTGCAATTATCAATACGCAGCATAGCTTTTTCTTTCCGGATAATCGGTACCATTCAATCATGTACGTTACTTCTCCTATTTTCCTAGACTATTACAAATTATGTCACAATAGATGTATATAAGATTGATTTAATCATTTCAAAAGACTTCTACCTGATCTGCCAAAAGTTCCCCTATGTAACAAAATATAAAAATATTGAATATAATCGTTATAAGTATTATAATATATGTTGCGACTTCTGTTAGATGATTCGATTCCCACTCCTGTAATTGCAAGATTGCATTATATTATGTTAAAAAAAAATAACTGTTAAAAATTATGTTTTTAAATATGTTTTAATTGTGTACCATGATGGCACAATATCCAAGAAGACAAACATTTACTGTACATTCTAAAAATTCCATGTAAGATACTTGTTGAAGAATTTTTTCAATAAGTGATAAAAATCTGTAAACATTACAACAAACATTACACAATTTTAATAATTGTTCTAAGTCAAAAAGTTATTAAAATTTAAAATTTTAAGAATTTGAAAATTTAATATTTGAAAGTTTTCATTATAAATAATATAATAATAAATTATAAATAATTTCTATTTATTCTTTTTATTAATCTTATATAAATTTTATTAAAAAATGTTTCTTTTGTATTAAATAAATGTGATAATATATCGTGATAAATAAATTTTACATACTTCAATATTCGAACATGTTGACTCACGATCTTGGCGATTCGCTGATCGATGTTATAACACATGTCTAATCGACCTTCTATCAAATGTTCCAGCCAGATCATCATCACCTGTATCTGGCCACAAACGTGAACTGTAAATATGGCAGCCAAACTGCAAGCTGATGATGTCACACCATGCACCAAGAAACCACACATAAATTGAAAGAAAAATACAATTTCGTTTACTGGACTGTATCGAACATCAGCAATGTACTTCGGGAAAGGAAACATCGTGGGTATGAAACTGATATTAGCATCTTGTGCTGGAATTTTTCCAATTTTCATCGGTATAGCTATATAAAAAAAGACAAAACCACTGTACGTGACAGTGGTGGTAACAATGATCAATCTCTTTCCAAAATTTGCGTTCATTAGCATAATGTCTCTATCTTCTGAGTAAGATATATTTTTCCAATCCCATTCCATACGTTTGACACACTCACGAACGTCATCTTTGTGAATGTTTATCAAATGATACTTTGTGATCGATAACATGCAGAAACTCATTAGACTAACGAATTTTAATCCGTCGTATATGTTTTTCACTTCGAAAGCTATGTACATCCATCCAAGTACAATGATAAACATTAACAAACAGTAACAAATGGTATTATATAACAGTCGAAGATATTTGTGTATTGTTGAAACTTTATCGAAAGTAGGCCATAAGCCGATCATTTTTGAAATACGACGGCTATATTTAATGCTAAAATTTACGTTACTTTTGTAATCTTGATCAATTTTTACAGAGGACATAATCGTTTCTTCGTTCGAGCTCAAAAGCTCTCTTCATACTGAGAGTTTGTAGATTGATAATTATTCTAAGACATGGATGCGCTTGCGCCATTTTTTCCAATTTTTATCGCAAGGGTAAGATTAAAAGTTATTCTCCCTCGATGGAATAAACTCTTCCCCATTTGGCAATTCTCTTATTATGCATTACAGGCAGGAAGAGTTGAAACATCGATAAATTGATTTTTTTTAATATTAGTAGAACAGAACTGTTGATATATGGAAAAAGTGAGTTTATTTTCTTTTTTTTTTTTGCGAACTTTTTCTTTATTATTAGTCGTTTTTTTTTAAGAAAATTTTTTCAATGTTTTGTGAATTTTGTATGATATTTAATTTATTTACTTTTTGTGCGTAATTTTTAAGTTAAAATGCTTAGATAATAGTTTTTAAAGTTTTCTATAATTTTTGGAAATATTCTCTATTTTATTATTCTTTACACGAAACGAAATAATAAGTAATTTATCTGCAAAATCTTTTTATTGTTAAAATCATTATAAAACATGATTTTTTACATCTCTTTAAATTATAGAAAAAATTTTCAACATTCAAGACAATTAACAATCACTCATTGGAACAACATGTATAAAAAACACATATAAAACGAGTATATAACAGTAAAGATTTTTTTAAACACACACATCAACGAATATAAAAAAACATCTATACTTAGAAATTTTCAAGTTGTTTTTTGAAGTACGTTTAAATAAGTAACTGCTGTCTTAACCACCTATTTATTAAAATCAAAGATAGAAATCAATTTAAAAAAGAGACAGAGAGAAAAGAATTACGAAAATAAGTTGATACTCACATCGGTAAATGTGCTGATAGATAAATTCACGATATTTCCAGCTGTCAATTTTATCGAGGAATTAGACATTGCGATGATTAAAATGCAAAAAAGCTTTTTGTTTCCCATCAATCGGTACCATTCAATCATGTACGATATTTCACCAATTTTCCTACACTATCATAATATCATATCATTATGATAAAACATTTTAGAAAAATTTTACAAAAAAACTTACCTCTTCAGCAACGATCTCGCCTATATAACAAAATATAAAAATATTGAACGTAAGTGATATAAGTAAAATTACGTAAGTTATTACGCTCGTGACATCATTCGATTTCGATTCCTATAATTGAATTAAATTTATATAAACGAGAATTGATACGTTTCAGAATTGTAAATCATTAAAATCAGATCAATTTTAAATCGAATTTATAGATCATTGATCCTTAATTTTTATATCGCGATTAATAACAAACCTCAGCAATTCTTTTAAGAATAATGACTTTTAAATTGAAAATCTAAATTGTGGGAAATCATACCATAATAACATAATATCCAACGAGACATATATCTAGCGTACAACCCAAAAATTCGGTGAAAGAAATTTGCTGTAAAGTTTTTTCGGTAAGTGCCAAAAATCTGAAATAATCGATCATCTTTTTTAAACTCATTGCATTAGAAAACACACAATTCGAAGCAATGTTAAAAATATTCGCATTAAAAATCGCATTATAAAACGATAATAATTACAATAAATTAATTTACTTTAGGACTCGAACATGTTGGCATATGACGTCCGCGATTCTACCATCCAAGCGCTCGTCCATGTCCAATCGGCCGTCTATCAAATGTTGCAACCAGTTCATCAACACCTGCATCTGGCCACAAGCGTGAACCGCAAATGTAGCCACTAAACTGCAAGCAGCCGATGTGATTCCATGCATAAGAGCACCGGCCATCAATTGGATGGAAAATACAATTTCGTTGGTCGGACTGTAACGAGTATCGACGATGAATCTCGAGAAAGGGAACACCAAAGGGATGAAAGTGAGATTATCTGTTTTGACTCTGCCAACGCTGATCGGTATAGCGATATAATAAAAGACAAATCCACTGTACATGAAAAAGGTGCAAATGACCACCAGTTTTCGTCCAAAATTCGCGTACATTATCATGATTTCTTTATCTTTCGCGTATGTGATGTTCCTCCAATCCCACTTGATCCTTTCCACGCATTCGCGAATATCGGTTTTGTGGAAAATTAGATAATAATATTTTACGAATGCCATCATGCAGAAGATCAAAGGACCGAATTGTTTCAGTTTGCCGTAAAAATCTTCAATTTCAAGGAACAGATATAGCGTGCAAGGGATGAAGAGGAAACTGATTAAACAGTAACAGACGATATTTATAAGCCAATACAGATAATCTTTCGATCGTGATGTATACGAATTCGGCCAAAGACCCATTGGTTTTAACAACCAACGATTATATTGAATGCTCAGATTCACGTTCTTCTGGTATTCATAGTCTGTCAAGTAGAATTTCTGATTGGCCGTCTTTGCCTTGTCTTTTGATTTTTGCATCTTTGATACTCGATGGCTTGTCTAATACTAAAAGGGATGGTAATAATAGTTCAAAAGAAAAATAACATTGCGCTTGCGCTTAATTTCTGATTTCCGTCGGAAGGGAGAATAAAAGTAGTTTAGTTTCAACCCTTCCACGAAGTTCAGATTTTTACATTATGCATTATAAGAATAGAAGGAGTGATGATAGTAGAACATCGATAAATTGATTGTTTGGAATATCAGCGAATGTCAGTTGTATGATTTTAAGGAATCAATTTATGGATGATTATTTTTTCATTTTTTCATGGTGCACTCTTTCGTTTGTTTGTTTTTTATTAATAGTAAGTAATAATATATAAATATAATAATTATTATTTGATACTTACATTATTGAGTGTTGACAAGTACTTTCATATTTTAGATTATAAATTCCATTGATGAATTAAATTACGATGATCAAAATATAATAAAACTTCTCTCAATTTCTGCAATTTATATATAAAATATCTCATATTTTTCTATGTTAGAAAAACTGTAATAAATAAATAAATAAGTAACAAATTAATAGTAACAAGTTCTATTTAAATAAAAAAAAATCACAAAATTCATAGGTTGGAAAGTATTGTCAGTAATTAAATTAAATAAAAATTCCTTCTTTTTCATTTAATCTTTGATTGTACAGAATATTTTTATAAAAAGTATATATACGATATATCCGTATTATACTTTTTCTATTACTTATTATGAAAATTGCTATTGTAATTATCATCGAAGTTTATTGTATTAAAAGAAACTTTTAACTTGTCAATGTTCGTAGCATGTTCAAGTATGCAAATGAAGTCTTGATAATCTATAATATTCAATAAAATATTATATATTTACAGAATGAATAATTGTCTTAAATTTGAGACACTTACAGCACCGAAACTGCTAATAGAAAGTTCGATAATGTTGCCAGCAGTGATCTTCGTGGTTGAACGGGACATAGAAATTATCAAAGAGATAGCCAAACTTTTTTTCCAAGGCATTCTATACCAATCAATCATGTAAAACTTTTCGCCAACTTTCATAGTCTGGTAAAATATTTTTTAAAAATTTTATTTTTTAATAAATTATTATCATCGAAATGTAATTTGGCAAAAAATATACCTGCTCTGCTAAAAGTTCACCGATATAACAAAATATGAAAATGTTAAATGTAACGGATGTAAGCAATATTATATACGTCACACCTCTAATAGGATGCTTAGAATCCCACTCCTAAAGAAAAAAAAATTGCAAATTAACATTTTGTTTCGTAAGTTTATACGTATCTTCGTAAAATTGTACCATCATCGAATAATACCCAAGGAAACATATATTTATAGTACAACCCACAACTTCTACCAATGATATCTCCCGAAGAAGATCTTCCATCAAAGTTATAAAACTGAAATATTATAAAAGACACACTTGATTTCAATTTCTATGTCTTAATATCAAATAAAATTTAAGTCTTCACATTACTTGATTATTCGAACGTGTTGTTCCACGATATTAGCCAATCTCTGATTCAGATTCTCGTCGTTGTTTTCCCTTCCATCCACCAGTTTTTCCAACCAAGACATCAAAATCTGCAATTGTCCGCAGGCGTGCATCGCAAGAAGGGCAGCCAATCCGCAAGCGGCAACCGTGATATTATGCGCGACAAATCCAGACAATAACTGTATTGTGTACAGAAGTTCGTTGGCAGGAGTGCGACGAGCATCTAGGAGAGCCTTAGGAAAAGGGTAAACCAGTCTTCTATACGTCAGATTACCACCCTCTTCCACGATCTTCGCTCGAGTGAACGGCAAAGCAATATAATAGAAAACTACCCCTCCGTACATAAAAGCGCCACAAATTACGATCAATCGACGACTAAAACTCGCGTTTTCCAACATAATCTTACGATCTTCTTGATACTTTACATTTTTCCAATCGTCTTCAATGCATTCTATGCATTTACGTATATCGTTTTCACGAATGATGAACACGCAGATTTTCATCACCGCCATCAGAAAGAAACTGAGCGCGCTACCGAGTTTCATTTGATCGTAAAAATCTTTCATCTCGAGAAGAAAATACATAACACCGGGTATTAGAATGAACGCGAGTAAAATGTAATTGAGAAAGCATAAACAGACATGTTCAATAATTTCTAACCAAGAACGATCCAGCGATTTTGGCCAGGTTCCAATCGTTCTCAATGTCCACACATTTAATTGTACGTTGAAGCATAAATCGTTCTTATAACTTGCGTTATAGAATTTCTCCTCGACAATAAAATGTTTCATGTTCATCTTCGAACATCGAATGTCGGAAAGTTACTAACAGTCATCTCTATCGATGGTTGGTTGTTTGAAAACGTTTAACTGAATCTAACTGCGCATGCGCAATTAGTTTTGCACAAAATGGAAAAGGCAAGTGATGTTTATATTTATTGGTTTAATTTAATAGAATTATCTACGTACTTTTCTCAGTTACCCTCAAGTAATATTATATTTTCAGTTGTGATCATCGCAGTTGACAAGTTTCGCAATGCATTTTTCAAGAGAAGGAAAAAATCACAGAACGAGGGAGAAACATGTTATTACCATATTCTTGTGTGTACATCAGAGAAAATAAAGTTTGATTCTATAGAATAGGATTGAATATTGGGAAGAATATTTTTTTTTTGATGATGTGGTAAATTGTTTTTTTTATAATTTTTATCTTTATGTTGCCAATATTTCGTATTAAATATAATTCTGATTTTTATTTTAAAAGAAAACATTTTTAAATGTAAGATAAATTTCTGAATATTTTCTTAAGGATATATTTTGCTTTTATTATAAGATTTTATTCTTTTATATCTATGTTGATTTTTTAGAAATATCGGCATGAAAAGTACTCAGTTATGGTATTGTTATGGTATTTGACTTAAAAGAAAATTTTTTTCTTTTTTTTAATCTATAATAAAATATTTTTATAAAAAATCAGATATGTGTGATATATTTTTTTATATATCTATATTTTTTCTATGTTCAATGTGAAAATTTATCGCTGACAATATTTTAAAAAAATCATTAGGTTGTAAATGTTCGTAGCATATTCAAGTACGCGACTGAAGTCTTGATGACCTGCAGTATTTGATAAAAATTTATAACAGAAATTTATTTGTATGTTTACAGATTATCAGTCACTTATGGAGTACTTACATCACCAAAACTGCTGATGGAAAGTTCGATAATGTTGCCAGCGGTTATCTTGGTAGTCGAATGGGACATTGAAATCATCAATGGTATGGCAAGACTTTTCTTCCAAGGCATTCGATGCCAATCGATCATATAAGATTTCTCGCCCACCTTCACTGTCTGGTAAAGTATATAAATAACTTAATCCTTTTATATATATATAAACTTTTATACATTGAAACAACAAGTTTATATGATTAGAGCATGATGAATTTTCTAAAAAAAAAAAAAAGAAGTGAGTACCTGTTCTGCTAAGAGTTCACCGATATAACAAAATATAAAAATATTAAACGTGACAGATATAAGTAGTATTATGTACGTGACACCACTGACAGGTTGCTTCGAGTCCCATTCCTAGAGAAGAAATTGATCGAATTAAATAATGATCATAATTTCCAAACAATTCTTCGTAATATCATACCATCATTGAATAATACCCAAGGAAACATATATTCAAAGTACACCCCACGACTTCTATCAATGATATCTCGTGCAGGAGATCTTCCGTTAAAGCTATGAAACTAAAATATTTCGATAAATACATTTCCTTTAAAAATTTCCTTTACATAATATCTTTATTTCACATAAACAAATAAACAAATAAATATTATACATCTACTTATTCGTTCACAAAAATCATTAATAAACAAAATTATAACCTTATCTTACTTGATTATCCGAACATGTTGTTTCACAATATTAGCCAATCTCTGATCCAAGTTCTCGTTATCGTTCTTTCTTCCATCCACTAATTTTTCCAGCCAAGACATCAAAATCTGCAACTGTCCACACGCGTGTATCGCAAGAAGAGCAGCCAAACCACAAGCGGCGACCGTGATATTATGCGCGACAAAGCCAGACAATAACTGTATCATATAGCAAATTTCATTGATTGGGCTATGACGAGCGTCTAGAAGAGCCTTAGGAAAAGGGTAAACCAGTCGTCTATACGTTAAATTGCCACCCTCTTCCACGATCTTCGCTCGAGTGAGCGGCAAAGCGATATAATAAAAAACCACCCCTCCGTACATAAAAGTGCCACAGATTACGATCAATCGACGACTGAAACTCGCATTTTCCAACATTATCTTACGATCCTCTTGATATTTCACGTTCTTCCAATCGTTCTCGATCAATTCCACGCATTTACGTATATCGTCCTCGCGAATAATGAAGACGCAGTACTTCATCACCGCCATCAAGAAGAAACTGAGCGCGCTACCGAGTTTCAACTGGTTGTAAAAATCTTTGATCTCGAGGATGATATATATACTGCACGGGATCAGAATGAACGCGAGTAGTTCGTAGCAGAAAAGATTTAGGCAGACGTGTTCCAGCGTTTCTAACCAGGAATGATCCGGAGATCTTGGCCAAGTGCCGATTGTTCTCAACGTCCAGACGTTCAATCGTACGTTAAAACTTAAATCGTTCTTGTAATTGGCGTTGGGAGGTTTTTCCTCGATCATCAACTTTTCCTCGTTCATGGTTGGATATCGAAAATCAGAGTGTCACTGGTAATAATTCCATCGTCGACTAATGGTTCGAAAAGTTTCGTAAGATTGTGCGCTTGCGCTGTGAAATTAGAAACTCGAGGTGGAAAGTGTTCCGTTTGTTGTTGTTTCGATTTTTCCATGGAAGAGTTTTCTCGATAATGTTTTCCGCTTGCGTATTTTTAGTCGTTGACGATAATCATAAGTTTAGAAATGGATTTTTTATAAGGAGGAAAGGATTATAGAACGAGAAACGAACATATGATTATCGTGTTCTTATCGAGGGGATGTGAATAAAGTTTCAATTAGATCTTTCAGGCACGCTTCATGGATATTTTAATTCTAAATAGATTTGAAACATTACTTTCTTTTTTCGTTGTTGTATAAACAATTTTTGAATAGTTATTATACGATATGCTTGGGTCAGATATTGCATGTGAAACATATTGTGCACAATTGAAGAAGATTCGTGATCGATCACTGACAGGAGTATTCTTTATTAAAAAAAAGTCAGATTATGTATAAAATCATTTCTCTATAATTTTTAGAAAACGTACATGTAAATAATAATTGTTTAAATAATTTCACGTAGTATGTTTAAATATCCCATTGAAACTTTCATGATCTACGAAATCATATTTATAAAATATGTTAATTTCATAAATTTTATTTTTCATAGATTTAATTTCTCTATCGTACTTACATCGGTAAAAGTAATTAAAGACATTTCCATCATTTTGGCTGCTTTGAGTTTCATTGGATGGTTAGACATAGCGATAATTAGTATCAAGCAACGCATATTTTTGATCGAAAGGCGATACCAATTTATTGTACTTGATGCTTGGCTTACAATGTAGTTCTGTTAAACAAAGTTATTTAGGATAAAAATGAAAAAAATCAAATGTAGATTGAAAAAAAAATAATATCGTACCTCGTCTACAAGCATTTGTCCAATGTAACAAAGTATAAAAATACAGAAGATGATAGATATTTGTATCGTGATATAGATTACGATTGCCATTGTATTAGTATTCTCCCATTCCTGAAATATATTTATTTAATATTCTTAAAAATTTGTAATATTTAACGTATTCGTACCATTAAAATACAGTAACCCACGAGACAGATCATACACGTACTACCAATCATTTCGATTAAACATATATATTCTGTAATTGTTTCAATATTCTTTAAAAATCTGTTAAAAAATAACATGAATTTAAACAGTATCAAAAATCCAAAAATCTTTCTTCTTCTTTTCTTATTCGTCGTTTTATCTCAATTTTTATTTTAAATTTATCAATCTCACAAAATTTTTACTCACCTCTTTATTTTCATTTGATATTCAACAATATCCATGATCTTTTTTTGCAGCACCACTTCAGACATATTTGATTTATCCACTAATTTCTTTATCTTATTCACTAGGATCCTCAGCATACTCCATGCATGAAGAACTAGCAGAGCAAAAATTCCGCAGAAGCCGCAAATAACCGCATAAATCGCTATTCCGGCTATAACTTGCAACACGAACAATATTTCGTGAATCGGCGATTGTTGCTCGTTCAAAATAAGAAAATAACTGGGACAAGGTAATGCTCTAATCGTAGTATTATTAGCAGTGACGATCGTTCCCTTCAGAAGGGGAAGGATCATCCGATAGCATAAACCGCCACTATACATAGTGAACGCAACGATCAAAACTATCCTTCTTCCAATCTTCGCTTTCGAGCGAAAAATCAATCGCTCCTCTTCCGTGGCTTTTATCCAATCATGTTTGATCGCGTATAATCCTTCTTGGATCTCTTTCCTCCGCCAGAGAATGATCGTGTATTTAAAGAACTGTATACTGCAGTTAATAATCGGCGGCATAAGCTTTAGTCTCACTTTGTTGTTTTTCTCTTTCAGGAACACGTACATAAGAGTTGGGATCATTATCAGAAAGAAAAGGAAGTATGTAAATATATGTTTCAATCTTTGGACTACTTTTAAGAAAAAAGAGGTAGATGGTGAAATCGGCCAGGCACCGATCATTTCCATAATGGGTTTCACGAATCTTATGGCATATTTCAAATCCTCTTCCACTTTTGCTATTCGAGATGTATTTTCCATGACTGAATGTTTCGATGTGACTAGTCATGCGTGTATGGTAAAACTGGAATTCGGTTTGATATGGAATGTTGCGCTTGCGTATATGGATTCAGCATTGAATTCATGTCATTCATTGTTTGAAACCAATTCGAAGAGTAAAAAATTGATTGAAATTACCCGTTTCAATTTTCCACGAATGATGCAAATTATTTTATGGATAGAAGTATTACCATGAGTGGAATTTTTTGATTGATGTACGATTCTTGTCTTTGATAGTTATCTTTGATAGAAATAAGATATTGTGAAAATATTTGAAAAAATGAAAAACTTTTTTATGTATTAATGTAATATAATTTATAGAAAATTTCATGAGATTCAAAGAAAATCGAGACATATATTTAAAAAAACTGACAATATCATATTTGTAGCAGTTTGTAGTTTCCAATAAATGCTGTTTAAAAGTTTGTACAGATTACGAACAGTTATTATCTAGATAGTAAGTAAAGGGGAACAAGTTGCATTTTCTGAAATACACCACGAGATTCTACAGTTGCGTTTCAATTATTAAAATTCTACGTAAAGCGTAGAAAGTAAGGGAGTAGCGATTTTTGAAATTGTCTCTTTCGATTACAAAATGATTGTTACTCTGATCGAATGATCGTGTTCTAAGCTGAAAAGTATATTTTATTATGCATATTAGTATGATTCAAAAATTTCGTAATAATAATAACAATAACATAATCACTAATTTTAAATTCTGTGTTTGTTTTACAGGAAACCAGTACAAATATGATATCCAATTAATATTGTTGCTTTGAATAAAATTTAAACATATATAATATTTGTCATGAAAATATGCAGAAAACACATATATTTTATTAATAAGAAATTGATGACCAACATATTGTTTTATTCGTGAAAGTAACATTGAATACAGATGCTTTTAACAAAAGGTAAATTATCGCAGCATTTTGTCTTTTTATTTTTAAAACATTACTAATAGTATATTACAAATTATTCAAAAACGGAGAGAAAGAAGTTCTATTTTCGAAAGAAGCTTTGTATATATCTTGATAGTAATATATAATCACATATATTCTATATCTGTCTCATCAATGATCCTGAACAGAAAAAGATATTAAAAAATATATAAATTTAATATATTAATATATTAAATTTTGTTTTTTTTTTAATGATAACATATGAATATAATAATAATTATTTGATATATTGAAAGCATTGATAAATATTTCCACTACATATTTTAAATCATAAATTTCATTAATAAATTAAATAATACAATGAAATAAAATATATTAAATATATTAATTTTCGGTAATTAGTGCAATTTAATTTATATGTGAAATATCTATATTTTTTATACTATTATAGAAATAAGTAATAATAAAAAATTCTGTATTAATTTTTTAAATAGCAAATAAAATTTATAGATTGAAAAGTATTGTCAAAGACTAAATTAAATAAAAATTTTTTCTTTTTCATTTAATCTTTGATACAGCATATTTTTATAAAAAATATTCATATATTTATATTTTTTCTATTATTCTATTATTTATTATAAAAATTGCAATTACATTATTATTAAATAATTTACTAATACTTAATTAAACTTAATTGTACTAAAAGAAAATTTTAAGTTGTCAATGTTCTTAATATATTCAATGAATGAAGTCTTGATGACTTATAATATTTAATAAAATATATATTCATTTACAAAATGAATTACAATTTTAGATGTGAAGCACTTACGATATCGAAGCTGTTAATAATGTTGTTCGATGATGTTGTCAGCGATCATAGTCGAATGAGACATCGAAATTATCAATGATATGGCAAGACTTTTCTTCCAGTGCATTCGATATCAATTAAAAGATATAAAACTTCTCATTCATCTTCATTGTCTGGTAAAGTATTTAATTTAATTTTTTTTAAATTCTTCTTCTTTAAAAATAGAACAATATGACATGTATATATAACAATGATATAAGTTTATGATTATATACAGAGCAATGATAAATTTTTAAAAAAAAATAAGTACCTGTTTTGTTAAAATTTTTCCGATGTAAACTAAAATATAAAAATATTAAACATGACAAATATAAGTAGTATTATACGTGACACTACTGACAGTTTACTTCAAGTCCCATTTCTAAAGAAAAAATTAATCGAATTAAATAATGATTACAATTTTCAAACAATTTTTCGTAATAACATACCATCATTGAATAATACCTAAGGAAACATATATTCAAAATGCACCCTACGACTTCTATCAGTGATCTTGTACAGGAAATTCTTCTATGAAATTCTGCTATGAAAATAAAATATTTCGATAAATATATTTCCTTCAAAAATCTTTACACAATATCTTTTTTTTATACTTTTCATAGGCAAATAAATATATTATATATCTACTTATTCATTTACAAAAATTTCTCATTAAAAAATTATAATTTTATCCTATTTGATTATCCAAACATGTTTGTTATTCGAACACAACATCAATCAAGTTTTCATTATCGTTCTTCCTTCGATTCATCAATTTCTTCAACCAAAACATTAAAATTTGTAACTGTCTACACGCGTGTATCGCAAAAAGCATAGCTAAGCTACAAGCAGGGACTGTGATATTACACAATAACTATATCATATAGTGAATTTCATTGATTGTGTGACAAGCGTATAGGAGAATCTTCGGAAAAGGGTAAACCAACCGCTTATAGGTTAAATTACTACCCTCTTCCACGATCTTCGTACGAGTGAGCGATAAAATGATATAGTAGAAAATCCCTCCGTGCATGAAAGCAGATCACGATCAATCGTTAATTGAAACTCGCGCTTTTCAATATTATTTTATGATTCTCTTAATATTTCTTCACGTTCTTCATTGATTGTTTTCGATTAGTTCTATGCATTTATGTATATCGTTCTCGCAAATGATGAAGACGTAGGACTTAATCATCATGATGAATTGAACAAAAAGATTCAGACAGATGTATTCTAGCATTTCTAACCAAAAATGATCCGGAAATTTTGTGCAAGTACTGACTTCAATATCCATATATTCAATCGTATGTTAAAGTTTAAATCATTTTTATAATTGGCGTTGCGAAGTTTTTTTTCAAACATCAACTTTCCCGCGTTCGAGAATAATCGAGAATTAGAATATTGATGATAATTCCATTATCGATTGATCGAATCGTTGATGGATCGAAAAGTTTCGTTGGATCATGCGCTTGCGCAGTTAGGTTAGAAACTAGGAATGGAAAGTGTTCTATTCGTTTTCCCCTTGTGTATTTTATTGACGATAATCATAAGTTTAGAAATTGATTTTTCAAAAGCGAAGAAAAAGATCATAGAACGAGGTACGAACATATGATTACCGTATTCTTTTCAAAGGGATATGAATAAAGTTATAATTCGATCTCTTCGAAACATGCTTCATGGATATTTAAATTTTGGATAGATTTGAAACATTACTTTTTCTTTCTTTTCAATGCTGCATACATAATTTTCAAATATATATTATATGTCTGAGGATGTTTGGATTAGATATAATAAAATAAATTTTAAAATAAATTATACATAAGTGAAGAAGACACATGATCGGACATTGCCGAGTCCTTATCTTATTAAAAAAGCCAGAATATGTGATATAAAATTGTTTCTACATAATTTTTAATGGGAAACTTGCACGTAAGTAATAATGGTTTAAATGACTTCACGTAATATGTTCAAGTATCCCATTGACATTTTCATAACCTATGAAGTTATTTAAAAAATATATTAATTTCATAAATTTAATTTTTCAATGAGATTTAATTTTTTGATACCTACATCGGTGAAAGTAGTTAAAGACATTTCCATCATTTTGGCAGCTTTGAGTTTCATTGGATAATTAGACATAGCGATAATTAGTATCAAGCAACGCATATTTTTGATCGAAAGACGATACCAATTTATTGTACTTGATGCTTGGCTTACAATGTAGTTCTGTTAACAAAGTTATTTAGGATAAAAGTGAAAAAATCAAATGTAGATTAAAAAAAAAATAATATCGTACCTCGTCTACAAGCATTTGTCCAATGTAACAAAGTATAAAAACACAGAAAATGATAGATATTTGTAAGGTGATATAGACCACGACAGCCATTGTATTAGTATTCTCCAATTCCTAAAATATATTTATCCTATACTCCTAAAAAATGTGAAATATTTAACATGCTCATACCATTAGAATACAATAACCCACAAGACAGATCAGACACGTACCACCGATCATTTCGATTAAACATATGTATTCTGTAACTGTTTCAATATTTTTTAAAAATCTGTTAAAAATTATATGCATTAAAATATATTTAAAAATCTTTTTTCTTCTCTAATTTATTTTAATTGAATTTTCATTTCAAATTTATCCATTTAACAAAATTTTTACGCACCTCTTTATTTTCATTTGATATTCAACAATATCCATGATCTTTCTTTGCAGCATCATTTCAGACATATCTGATTTATCCACTAATTTCTTTATCTTATTCACTAGGATCCTCAGCATACTGCACGCATGAAGGACCAACAGTGCGGAAATACCACAGCTACCACTGATCACTGCGTAAATTGCCATTCCAGCCATAATTTGTAGCACAAACAATATTTCATAAATCGGCGATTGTTGTTCGTTTATAATAATGAAATAACTGGGACAAGGTAACGGTCTAATAGTAACATTGCCAGCAGTAATGACAGTCCCCTTCAGAAGGGGAAGGATCGTCCGATAGCATAAACCGCCGCCATACATAGTGAATGCAGCGATCAAGACAACCCTCCTTCCGATCTTCATTTTCGAGCGAAAAATCAATCGCTCTTCTTCCGTGGCTTGTATCCAATCATGTCTAATCGCGTGTAATCCTTCTTGGATCTCTTTTCTTCGCCAAAGAATGATGGTATACTTGAAGAATTGCATGCTACAATTAATAATCGGCCCCATAAGCTTCAGCCTCACCTTGCTGTTCTTCTCTTTCAGAAACACGTACATCAGAGTTGGAATCATTATCAGAAAAAAAAGAAAATATGTGAATATATGCCCCAATCTTTGGAATACTTTTAAAAAGAAAGAGGTAGAAGATGAAATCGGCCATGCACCGATCGTTGCCAAAATCGGTTTCACGAATCTCGTGGCGTATTTCAAATTCTCCTCCGCCTTAGCTATTCCAACTATATTTTCCATGACTGAATGCTTCGATGTGACTGATCAGGCGCATATAGCAAAACTGGAATTCGGTTTGGTATGGAACATTGCGCTTGCGTATGTGGACTCAACATTGAATTCATATCATTGAAACCAATTTTATCGAAGAATAGAAAATTGGTTGAAATTACCCGTTTCAACTTTCCGCAAATGATGCAAGTTATTCCATGGACAGAAGGTATTGCACGAGTGGAATTTTTTAAATTGAATATTTCTTATTTTTGGTAATTAAAAAAAAAGATATTGTGAAAATATTTGCATAAATTCTAGAAGCGTCAATATATAATTGTTTATAGAAGATTTCATGAAATTGAAAAAAATTGAGATACATATTTAAAAATCTGACGATATCATATTTGCAGTGGTTTGAAGTTTTCAATAAACGTTGTTTGTAAAGTTTGTGCAATACGAACAGTTATTATCTAGATGGTAAGTAAAGGGGAACAAGTTACGTTCTAAAGTTGCGGTTTAATTATTAAAATTCTGCGTAAAACATAGAAAGTAACATGGTAACGTTTTTTTGAAATTGTCTGTTTCGAATGTAACGATTTTATAGTGAAATACAAAATGACTGTTACTTTGATCGAATGATCATCTTCGTGAGTTAAAACAATTTATTACGCCCTTTATGGTTCAAAAGTTTTATCGTAATAGCAATTTCAAGAATCAATATCATAAAAATTGTGGAAAATTCTTTGAGTATATGCTATTTGTGGAAAAATTATATATAAATATTTTATGATAATATAATTCTGTAATTTTCTAGAAAAATCGTTTTAGGCACAAAAATATATGACTATTCTATAAAATATAACAATTCAGGTAACATTTTTTAACATGTTCAGATATCCCATCGTTGCCTTTATGATCTGGAAAATAAAATTAAAACCTAGCAGAATTAACTTAATGTAAAAAATGGAGAAATCTAATTTCTCGATACGTACGTCAGTGTAAGTAGATAAAGATATA